TTTTAATATTCTCTACTCTTATGTAAAGTCTACAACTAACACACTCTTTATTATGATCCTTCCCTTGGCACTCACTGAAGATCTCAAGCCTTTTTGTTCTCTTACAATTATTTTTCTTTGTGTATATTTCCAAAGAAATTTATCCACGTAATACATGCATATCGTTGAACTCTGATTTATGTCAAGCAGTAAGAACACGTCAGTTAACAACTCTAGCATTGCAACATGTGCTGATGCATTTGTGTCAACTAACAACACCTTTATAAGTCGTTCTAATAATTGATTTTTTGGACAATGGTTTTAGCTGGATCCACCGATACCAGGAAAACGTGGCTCAGGACCATCACGGAAGGTTTGTCACATTGCATTTTCTTCTTTTGGTGACAAATGATTATGAATGTGACAGGATCTTTCCTACAGAAAACCCTCGTCAAATTAATACATTATCATACTCGAGCATAGGATTATTCTTATGCAGGTTACTTTTAGTATGTAGGTTTGAACTATGATTTCTTTGTTGTAGATGCTATTGACTCCCAAAGATCTCAGCTTTGTCGGGTATACATACAAGAACTTCGATGCTGTCAAAGGACTTCATGGATTACATGGTAATGCTTTTGCCTTGATCAGTATTGTTCGAAGTTATATTTAAATAAGTGATTTAACCAGGTACAAGAAAACAGCAAAGTCGGCCCCATGCTATAAGGGGCCTAGCAGGCCCATTGAAGTGCATACCAGTTTATTTATTTTAAAGAAATTAGATTTAGATGTATGTAGTCTAACAGCCTATATTTTTTAAAAGTCCCTTAAAAGACCCTCGTTTCTTTCAAGTCTCACCAGCTCATTAATCATAATACTATATATGACACTTATTACTTTAAGGCATGCAAGGACTCGAACTTGGCTATATATGACACTTATTATAAGGTCATATACATGCATCATCCCCTCGTTAATCTAATAAAGGTCCAATCTCACATTCAAGTGGCGTGTCTGGTAATCATTTTAAAAATCAAAGCATCCTTAATCTGCACAATCTTATTTTCAGGATTCATGATCATTATACAAGTCAAGTTTCGAGATTTGCGATCATTTTAACAAATATTTCCACTTATCTCTATTTATTTTCTTTTTCTTGTATAAGGTACCTGATATCGAAATTTAGTGATGATTAAAAAAACTGGTCAGTTTTATGTGTCCGTTCATATGAACTTCGATGTAGGAAGGATGAAAATAGTTGGGTGGTACTTGGTAGCTTCCACCATCCTCTTTCAAGGTTGTACTTAGCAAAAGGCGATGATCTGAGCATATTTTTGTGTACTCACAGTTGCCCCCTTTGTTTATTATTGTTATCCTCTTTGAGGCAGATCTTTGACCAAACTTCTTTCAACTCAAACATTGCAGATTCTCAAAAATTGTCAATGAAACAGCCTTCAATTGACGTATTAAGTAATGGATCTTATCCTTCATATCCTTAACACCTTTCTTCTTTCTCATTTGAAGTTGTATTTTTATTTTATTTTATGGGTTGATGTTCAAGAGCTGATGTCTGCAGATGGCACTGCGGGAGACTACACAGCCGAACTAATAGCGAACGAGGAAGTGCAGATGGTAGCAGTATCAGGAGATCCCATGCTGCCATAATAGATGGTAAAATGAAAGGCGAGCTGATGTGCATATCTTTTCGTTTTCCCGCTAATTTTGGGCATTTATGGTGTATGCTACCATTCAATTACAGTTTACAATACATAAATGGATATATAAGCAAAGGAAACAACAATGCCTGAAGAGTTTCTAATCATGGGAGACCAGCTAAGCAATGAGCACATGGTGAAAGGTGAGTAGGGTTTTGTGCATTATATTATAATGTAACTTAGAGCAGAGTCATGAAACTTTGTCCTAGCTGCCCAGGTTGGCAATGTTGGAACTTTGCCTTCTCTAGTGGCAGTTCTTTTTGGTCAAAGTTTTTTTTTTTTTACATATATATATATATTTTGCTTTTATCAATGGCTTATTATATCAAGGAACTGGATAGCCATTACAAAACTATTATTACGATTATGTGTGATGAGGTTATGTGGAAACAAACATATATTTTAGTTGTGAAATTTTTTATGTTGTATATTATATTTTTGGCGGATAGGTGAAATGGAGGATAGATGATGAGGTCCACTTTTTATATTCTTTTGTTTCCTTTTTCCTTTGACGAGCATGGAATTTTCTTTCTTCCTTTGTTGGTGTTTGGGATTATTGATTTTTTTTTTTTTTTTTCATTTTTGGTCTAAGTGATGCACTGTTGCCTAACCTAATAAAGGTCATGATTTGTAAGGTCATGGATTCAGATCATGGTGGTCACTTACATAGGATTTAATATCCTACGACCAAACATTGTAAGGTTAGGAGTTATCTTGTGAGATTAACCTTGGTACGTGCAAGCTGGCGTGAACCCTCATGGATATAAAAAAAAATTTAATTCCTGTCTAATTTCTTATCTAGCCATCAAGGTCTAATTCCAAAGGAATTTGACTGGAAGCATACAATGTGAGCAAGACAAGAAAATATCTTAGCATAGGATAGGAAGAGAAGATATTTTGCTAAACGTTATACTGTTAATAGGAACTTAAGAAAATGCCTTATGTTTTGTTGGTTTCATAGATTCTTGATGAACAGCGTGAAGCTGTTTAGTGTGTGAACAGAATCCACTATTTTTATTGAAATTTTGGTCAATGGATTATTATTGTTATTATCGTAGAATACGACCAGAGTACAGAGATCTTCAATTAAGTTGCTGAATTATAGACTTTTAACATTCCATAATAAGAAGGTTTGACTTTCATCTAAATAATTGTAGCAAGAAAAGTTGAAGATTCTTGACTATTACCATCGGAATGACAACAAATATTTGAATCCGTGAGTTGCTTTGTTCCTAAATTGTAGAATTGAGCAAAATTTTTGTGCTTCTTGATGCAATACACACTTTTTGAACCCAACACAATGCTCGCAAACTGGTGCAGCCATGAACTTTGCCACACAAAAATAGTTCACTATCCAACGATAAATGATGATTTAAACAACAAATTTAGTCATTGAATCTATATTCAACATTTAATAAAGACTAATTAAAAATATAACCTGAAATAGAAGCGATGCAGCTAAAAGGAAGCATGACTTTATTTAAAACCGTTATAGGTACATCCGAACTCGAGATGAAATACAAGTGATGTCTGGACTTCATTCATCTCACAGAAACAAACGTTTACCATCACAGTAAGCTTATTTTTAAACATGCTTCACACAGTGCCAAAGTGAGAAACAGAATCGACCTAGTATCGCCTATGGGCTAGCTCTCTTATGGCTTCCCGAAGAACTTGCTCATTCCGAACGCTCTGAACCCATCTTGCATTGATGTGAATGCGCTCGATGCTCTGCTTCAGAGTTCTGACCATTGACGGCTTACCACGGGTTGCAAAGAACTCCTCGACTTCCTTAGCTTTGTCATACGAGGCAAACTGAAATGGCAAGGTGAAATAATAAAGGATAGGTTGGGAGAAAGAGAAACTAATGAATGCGCGTGATGGAGAAAGAAGAGAGCTGTACAAACCGGGGAGACTGTGGCACTAACAAAGCGTCCAATCAAAAACCCAGAGTCGTAGGTTTTGGCGATTTCTTCCCACTTACCCTGCATTCACGTTATCTCATTATAATAGTTCTCCAGAAAACATGCTACCGTATAAACTAGTTTATCTATTTTGGTAACGTTTCTAATTTTTGTTTCTTGTTTCTCATTTTCAATTTTTTTAGAAACATTTTCTGTTCCACGTTTCACCTTTTTAAAAAATGTTTCTAAAATTGTGTAAATATTTTCATATGCAACCGTTACTTCTATTTTTTTTATGTTTTAAAGTTCTTGAGAACAAGAAAGAAGAAAGGATTACTAAACATGTTTCTATTTTTTTTTCAATTGAAAAAAAAAGAAACAAGAAACAGTAATGTTACTAAACGAGTTCTAAAATGATAGAGACATGAACTCCTGTAAATAAGACATGATCAAGAATATATTGTGCACATTTCCCCCTCAAAAGGAAACTTCGGGATATGCTACTGAGATGAATAATATTTGCAAGAACAGTAGCAATCAGACCATATTATATCGTGCTCCCTAATGGAAGGTTAGAGTATACCACCTTAAGCCACGTCCAAGCTGTTTCACGTGCTTGCCAACTAACACCAAGTCCAAAAACGGCATCTTGACTACGAACCTAAAAAAATTGGAAACAAAGTCAGAATTTTGAGTATTGCATGCAAAAGATTGACATTGATGGGTTCTGAGTATACGAAGAAAGTAGACTACCTCAGATGACAACAAAAAGTTGAGAACTTCAAGGATGATGTTAGGATCTGGACAAGATGCCAAAGAACCTAAAAAAGAAACAAAAGTATCACATGAATACTGCAAACAAGGACACTCGTTACTTGACCAAAAAATAAAAAAAGACGTGTGATTACTTAAAATGCGTGTTTTCTCCTGGCTCAGATCGGTCTCCCTATAAATTCTTAGGAGGGATTCATAACCAGTTCTGTTTGAAGCATTGACTGTCTGCATTACAGCTACATATGCTGCCTGAAACATTAGCAAAAAAAGAACATAAGCCAACAAAGAACCTAGGATGCTTGCTTGTGCCAAATGATGTACCTTCAGCGTACCTTTCTAATGTCAGGTGGGAGGACTGGCGTACTTCTGTTATCTAAGAATGCATGGAATCGCCTATTTGCTTCTTTTATTGTCGGCTCGTGACCGAACGCAGCAAGAGCAATCAAAAGTTCTCCTCTCAACATTGCATCTAGATGGCTTTCCCCTGGCTTGGGATCCCAGCCAAGTTTTCTACAAATAAAATTGCATGTATAAATAAAATAACAAAAAGATTGCGAGATAATTTACCTTGAACATAACTTTTATATAGTTAGTATTTGTACACATTTGGCACAGAGATGCTTGTTAAGATATTCGATATCTTATGGATATGGTTGCTATAGTTCGAAATCATAACTTCAATAAATCTAAATAGTACACGTTACCATTTTGACTAGAAGGCCAATGGTTTATGATAAATACAATATTTTTTAATATCGCTAAATTACAATGTTTCCAACAAAGTTACAGTGGCCAATAATTTGGGAGATTAGGCAAAGTCGCCTACCCAGTCGTTATGTTTAATGGCTCCCAATTGATAATATCTTCACGTTTTTATTCATTTAAAAAAAAACAAAAAAGTAGAACAAATTCACAATCTCCAAGCTACCTAGTGGGTTTAGCTAGATTTATAAAATGAGACTCCTCATACAAACACAAGGAATTGGCAGAAACAGAGGATCATGCAAAACATTTCACTGTGACAATCTTATTCAACAGTCAATCCTATGCTTGGAGATAAAACCTAAGACAATTTGTATATACTAAGACTCCATGTGACAATCTTATTCAGTAGTGAATCCTATGCTCAGAGATAAAACCTAAGACAATTTGTATATACTAAGACTACCAAGCATAGACCAGGAGACATGCAAGACGTATAAACACAAGGAATTGGCAGAAACAGAGTATCGTGCATACATTTCACTATGGAAATCTTATTGAGTAGTGCCCAAAAATAAAACCTAAGACAATTTTTATATTCTGAGACTCCCACGCATAGACCAGAAGACATGCCTCCCCTCCCAAGTCGCTACACAAAATTTGTTTGCTTACAAGAAACCACATAATTAAATATATATAACTACAAGTACCACACTGCCATATTATAAATGGGCCACTATATTATGTTTGAACACCGAAAAGTAATACACACATCTCCTACGACAAAACAACTGTAAAATAATATTCATCATAATTAATGACAACCATACTTGGGCTCTTCAAACATATCATTTTAATCATGGCCCACAAATCCTACATAGGCAATTATAAAGATTAAAGATTGAAAAGAACGCTAATGTTCACATGAAATATCTTACTCTGCTGCAAATTGGAAAATGTTCGTGAAAAACTGTTTGATGTCGTCCAGTAACTCAGGAACTGCATCAGCCACTATTCTTTCAAGTTTATAGCTTATCTGTAAAAGAGCAGCCAAGAATAAGCTCTCTAGCATGATTGTAAAAACTGCAGGAGGAAAAACGGAGTCTAGGTGAAAACATTACACCCATCAGATTAGATAGCACAGTATAGTCAAGTTCCTCTCTGTAAGCACCCATCAAGGTAAGCAAAGAGGTAAGTGATTGCTCGCAAGCCATAGAAAGAGCAAATGCATCATCCAAAATACCTGTTGAAAAAATAATCTTAGCTACTCCTTTTTTGTTAGCAACAAAACGAGCAAGCTAAAATGTTAGTTACCAAATCTGTCCGTTGCAGTCAATTTATTTTTCTCTGTTGCATTTCTAAGCTTAGCTGCAAGATCCTCGTCATACTTCACCCGGTAAAAACCAGCCTGATCCACATTAAGCTTTATCCAATCACAATATTTATCATTTCCACCACCGCATTTACCCATGGAACAACCAAGGAACTCCTTGATGTCAACAGATTGTGTCTTTGTTTGCAGCAGAAAATTCTTGTGCACATCATAGGAGCCACAGCACAATGTTATAGGAACGATCCACTGCCCCTCTCCAGAGGAACCACTCAACAAAAATCTTGACTGCCAACAACAATATCCATGAGACCATGATTATAACCCTCAAGAGCTAATCTCAAAATGAAATGAAAACTTTCAAATGTTAAAACTTAAACCCAACCATAGCAATTTATAAATTAATTTGATCAAATGACAGAAAGCAACACAATGAGACCTGGTCAAACACCAATTTATCATCTTTCACTTTGACAGTGACAACAGGATATCCTTGTTGCTTAGTCCAGGAACTCATTAGCTTGTTCACAGGTTCACCGGATCCCTCTTCAAGTGCAGCCCACAAGTCTTCAGTCTTTGCATTTGAGCAACTGTGCCTTTTTATGTACGAAGCAAGTGATTTCTGATCACATCAAACAACCCACTTGAACGAGTTGGATTAGAAGGCAGAGAATGATTCAATTTTTTAGACAAGGAATAGAAGCACTAAACAACCTGAAAACACTCGGCACCAAGATAGCTTTGTAACATTCTAATAACAGATGCACCTTTTCTATAGCTAATTGCGTCAAATATTTCATCAACCTCACAGGCATGATTTATCTCAACCTGAAAAAGAGAGATGATTCTTTAACTTGAACAAGAAACAATAAGATTGGCCATTCCTTAAAACAGCCTGAATACAAAAGAAAGGAGATAATGGAGAAGAAATGCCTGCCCATTTACCTCAATAGGATGTGATTCAGCAAGCCCATCCAAGGTGAGACCATGATTTGATTCTTCAAGAAACTGATTCCATACTTTCCACTCTGGAAACAAGCTATCAGTAGCTAAATAACTCACCTAAACAAGGGAGATAAAATGAAGATCAATTATAAGCATTTCCTCCGTCAACTGGTTCCAAATCAAGGCAAGTTGATTGAAAGTGGGATACCCATGTTGCAAATCCCTCATTCAGCCACAAATGTGTCCACCACTCCATAGTTACAAGGTTGCCAAACCATTGGTGTGCAAGTTCATGAGCCACAACAGTTGCCACCTTAACATTGGGAAAATAGAAAATAAAATTCAGGTGACTACAGACTGCAACATTCCAATTCAAATTCAGAATGTAAAATAATAATAATAATAAAAGTGAAAAAAGTTTGGATATGCAGATCACCCTCTGCTTGTTAGCAGCTGCTGAGTGTTGATCATCATAGAGCAAAGCAGTCTCTCGGTAGGTAACTAAACCATAGTTTTCCATGGCCCCAGCAGCAAAGTCCGGAATTGCAACCATGTCAAGTTTTGGCAGAGAGTACGGCACAGCAAAATATCTGCAGAAATTGCACCATTGTTTATGTAGTCTAATAGATAAAGAAAGTGCCTCCATTAGAACAGAATGAAAAAATACTGTGTGAATGAACATACTCCTTGTACAGTTCAAGAGTCTTAACAGCAACATGTAATGCAAATTTTCCTTGATTTGCCTTCCCAACTTGACAGTATACACGAACTTTGACCCCTGCTAGAACATAAATTCATGCTATTATTAACAGTCCTCACAGTATATATAAGAAACTCTCTTATATGATTTTACCATCAGCAGTGTGATCTTCCAAATAATCAAATAAACCAACAACAATGGCCACTAAATATGTGGACATAATTGGCGATTCTTGATATGAAACCGTCTTTAGATGTCCATTCACTTTTTCTTCCATAACTGGCATGTTGGAAAGTGCTATTAGTTCAGATGGTACATCCAACGTGATCTTGAATGTGGCCTGTTTGTTAAGAATGAACGGATGAAAACAATAACTAAGCAGGAGCTTCAATTGAGGAGAAATAAGCCAAAGATTTAAACACCAATCCAGCCTCTCAAGTCTCAATTAGTCTCAATAATTTATTGCATTATACATTTTTCAAATAAGAATTAATAAGAGGAACATAAATTATTTGGTTGACATAATTTTGTTTTTAGTCATTGGTTACTAGTCCTAAAGTTGGTCTCCCTTAACTTTCTCCCACTAACTTGTTGAGAGGCCATTTGTGTTTTTCTTGCTGGCTACTTTAGAAGATAAAAGGAAGGAAGGTTGGTTTATTGGCTCTGAAAAGATTCTGCTTGCTTGGTTAGCTTGGCTCTTATACTACTGAAAACGAAGGATAGCAAGGAAGAGAGCAGGAGATTGTAAAATGAGTCTCTGAAAAAAATCCTTGGATCAGGGGCCTTTAAAATAGGCTGCAAGTACAACTAGAAATGAATAGGCACTAACCTAATAAGAGAAAGTTAAGGGAGACTAACCTTAGAACTAGTAACCACCAACTAACACTAAAGATTAGGAACTTCATTGAAAAAAATCAAACACGTTTGACACTTTTAACCGACTTGATACCCAAAGCAAGAAATCCTTCCAAAATAAGGTTAACAACGTAGACTAAATATAATACTTTATAAAAAATGAGGAACTATATTATAACTATTGAAAACTTATGGACCATAATGGAAACTGGATCAAAATTAAAGTGACTAAAAATCAGTTATACTTCTGTGTGTAGCTTTCAAGTATGGTGATGGAAATAGTCCCTTCGAGGTTTACTTAGTGGATGAACTAATGCACCTTTAGTTTTTTATAGAGAGAGATGGAAAGAGAGATGCTAACACCTTACAAGCAGGTTCATCCCAGCAAGGGAAGCAACGTCTAGCATCAACTGGTTCAAACTGTGTAACAGCCATGTTCTTCTTCTCACCATTATGCTCATAAGTGCTGGGCGACAGAGGAAAATCCATGTCATTCAAGTTGAAAAAGAAGCACAAATAATCACCATTCTGTTGCCAAGAAATTGAGGCAACGGAAGAAATGAAATTACTGATAATTTTTCCATACACATTTGGAGGATTGAAGCACTCTGATGCAACTCCCAGCAAGCTAATGGTCTATTGCAAATTTGCAAAAGTACCACCACATAGGGAATAATTTGAAAATACAATAAAATCCTAAACAGTTCCATATTCTTCAAGTTTAATATATATATATATTTTAAATATAGGACTTAATTTACCTAAAATTTTGATAAAAATTAGGATTTCCAAAACCTTCCTTCATCCTATGAAAAGTTGATCGGACGTTTTAATATAAATACCTTCCCTTCTGTTCTCCTTCTATTTGGGCTAGCTTTATGATCACTATATTCAAAACTCTTGAGGACTTACAGGGATAAGAAATAAACCCACGATTTTGTCAGATTCTTATGAACCATAAATTGTCTCATTTCTTGAACCTTCACATTCGTCAAAATTAATAAGGCTGTGTAGGTCTTGCTTTTATATGATTTCTTATGAGTTTAGAAAGAACAGTTAGAAATAATAATTTATTGAGAAAACCAATAAAGTAATGCCTTCGCCATTAAGACATTTCCCGGCTACCTCAAGTTATCTTTTCTAATCCATACAGTCTCGACATTTTTATCCCAACAAATTTTTCTGTTATGTTTTCCATTCATAAAACTCAAAGCCTCACATGAAAAATAATTACCTTCTATAGAATCCTTTCATTTTATCATTCAAGATTCCTTCGAAGTCAATACTCAATGTTCCTGTCCCAATCGGTAGCGTCTCTGCAAACTCCAAAACCAAAATTTGGTTCTCTTCACACGCTTGAATACTTGAAGGCTGGAACACCTGCCCCAGCAATTGTACGTCAAAGCAGTTTCAGAAACACTTTCCAAAAAATTTCAGATAAAATAGCAAATGCATAAATAAATATATAAAAAGCTTTCCTATTCTCATAGGAAACACACAACTGCTGGAACCTGTCGAGAGAAAAAAAATATAAAACTCCTATTCTCACAGTTTTCAGTCGACAAAGAAAAGCATAAAACTAGTCCTACGAGATCCTAAAAGTCATAATCCAGTCACCGGCTGAGACATCATCACGGATACCAGTCCCGAAATACGCAAACAAAACAATAATCATCATCGGGCATCGTGAAACTTCAAATAAGTAAAACAATCACAGCAGGAGTTCAGACTCGATCATGAATTCCGAAATCAAACATCGTAAAAATCCATTTGATCTCAAGAGCTGAAAATGAACAAGAAAGTTATAGAAACAAATCTAGTGGAATCGAAAACACGTCCCCTCCGCTCTTCCACTCTTTCTTGCAATCTTCCGCATCCAAGAACGCCCCCGATACCGAGTCTCAAATGAAAAACAGAGAGTAACTCAATACCTTGGGGGATTTTCGGTTGGTGAAGGAGACAGAACGATCAACGACGCGGAGGTCGGCGGCATTGAGTACTAGAAAGCGAGTATCAGAGACGATATCGATATCGATCGCAACAGAGCCAGAGAATTTACAGAGGCAGAGGTCTGGTTTAAGCCTGATTTCATATCGTTTCGGAACGGCGAATTTCGGAAGCCGAGGTTGATCTCTGAATTGCTCCATCAGTGAAAGATCTGCAAAATTGGAACTGAAATCCAAGCTCGAGGAAGCTCAAGAGATATGAAGATGTTAATAACTTATAATGTATGAGCTCGCTGGAAATCGCTGCTTCTGGGCGCTGCAGATATGTTCAAAACGCATCGTTTCGATGTGTCCCTTCGCCTGACGTCCATCTGGACTTTTTTCAAGAAAATAATAATTAAAAAGGAATAACATTTCTTACGTCATTATAGTTTTCATCGATGGCTTTAGCATGAAGTTAACTTTACCCTTAAAATTTCAACATTCTCGAATATATTCTTTTCTTTTTCCTTTTTTTTCCTAATATATTCGTGGAATATAGTCACATAAGTCTTTAACTGGTTAATTAAAGGTTTCAAATTATTCTTCAACTTTTAATTATTTGAATTTATTTTGAAGGTCTGTATTACAATTATATTAACAATATATAAATAAAATTTGAATCTTTCTGTCAATCTTTTCAATTGTATATTAACGATGTAATCTATTTTTAAAAGTTATATTTTTCTCTAAACATAGTTATTTTTGTAAAAGAATATAGCAGGACATTTATAGAACAGAGATTGGAACCCCCTCTTTAGGTTATAAGATTAAGATCAAGTCACTACTCAATATAAAAAAAAATAGCCGATTACAATTTTTAAACAAAGGTTAGTTATCAATGTTGGGCCGGTTAGAAAAACAAAAATATCTAAATTGAATTAAAAGACACTAAATTATTTATTTAAATATGTTTATCTCCGACTAAAAGTCGTGAGTTCGATTCTCAATGTAGTAAAAAAAATCAAATAAATATAAGGCCAATAATCCTATATTTAGAAGAGAGGCCTTAAAAGATTAAAAATAATAATAATAATAATAAATCCGAACAGTCACGCGCTAAAACACTCGTCAAATCTAAACGGCATTCCTCCATCCAAATCGCCTGCTCTTGCTCCTACTTCAAACATCTAAAATATAAATGCTAAAAGCTCAAAAATAAATAAAAAAAATTAAACTGACCAATTTCTTAGAAGCACGAAGATACAAGAATAAACTTATCAACTCTTGAATCAAAATTTATAGAAAAATATACCAAAAAGATCAAAAGTTCGAATCTCTGCTCCTACTTATCATTGAACTAAAAAAGAATAAAGCACAACAACTTATACAGATAGACATTTATATTACAATCATATTGTTTGAAATTTAGTGCAAACAAATCATCATCGAATTACCTACAAAGTTTTGGTAAAATGGTCTGTTAAGAAGAGGGCACCTCATGGCGCCAACAATCTGACGCAAACACCTCTACTCTGCACTAATATAAGTACTTTAATCAGCTCTTGCACCAGAATAGCAAAAGCTTTATTATCACTGCATCCATAGGCGAATAATGAAGTCTCTTAGAAAACTATGGATCACATGGCTTCACCATATCAATTTTTATAGGAAGAAATTAAATCCAAGCTTAGAAAAGTCGCACCTTGTTCCTATGCCTTGATGATTGGAGCTTTGTTTGGATCATTTCTTCTTGAATAGGAAATGGGTAACCATCCATTCTTCCCCATTGTTGTACCCAAATAATTCAGCTACTGCAATGAAAAATGTTCTCCAATAAACAGTCCACTTCACAGCTGAATCCTTTCCATAAGTTGTTTCCATGATCGGTTTTATTAAAGCTATATTCTCGTCCATTCTTTTGAGCCACTCTTCACTGCAACAGGATGTGTTCAGTAGTGTATTTTAGTTTTATCACTTCTAAAATATAAAAGCAAATCTGGCATGGAGACTTCAAAGTTTAGTTTAGAAGATAGTTTGTTCTCTAAATGTATGTTCTATATAATTGTTTTTTTTTCTTTTAAGAATGGGGAGTAAGGCTTTGCTCCCCTATTACCCAGTTGCCCCCGCCTCAAGGCCCGAACCCGGAAAACATTAAAGGTTTCTAGTATTAAACTCACTAGAAGATTCAAACTTAAGACATCTAAGTCAGTATGATCAAGAGATCCAAACCCTTGCCAACTGGGTTGTCTCTTAGGGGTTGCATGTTCTATATAATTGTAGAACTGAGAGAATCGTTCACTTTACCTTGTTTGAGAATAGTGCTTACCATTCATGAGCCAATGGTCTACAATTGATACGTCATCCTGCACGGTAGTTATGATGCAATAATACTCAATATTAATAGCAAAAATGAGTATAAGTTCTTAAGTAGATGATCTAAGTACACCCTTTTACACCCTTACCTGATTAAGTTACGAACTTACGTAGTTATGATTTATGGACTTAGTACCGCAGTACAAGTGTGTTCAAATGAGAGACATCTACATTAACTACACTAATCATAAAAGAGATTTCATTTCATTTGGTGCAACTAAACGCACAATCTCTCTAGTCTCGACTTTTACCTGATATTTTTGACCACTTCATATTTGGCACATGGCATACGTGTTTTTCTAACCTTTTCATTTATTTTCTTACCATCCTATTTGTAAAGTTTCAACCTAAGTTATGTGTTTCTGCTACAACTATCCTAAATTAGAAACAGTTTAAAGCAAATGCAAATATATAGGGAAGGGCGAGTCTTATCTCAGTTATCACCTGGAAATAGAGAAGTAAATTTGCAGAAGGCATTGTACCACCTTCGAAGAAATATCTAGTAATCCAATCATCTTCATTTATATTCTGAATAATGAAGCCACAAAATAGTTAGCAATACGTAATATTGACTGTTTATCAAGATGTAACTACATGCAATGTGAGCAGTATTGAACCAAACCAATAATGTAGTAATGGTCCTAGCCATGAAGAAAATCAAAGGATGGAAACCTCATATGTATAAAAATCTGAATCAAGCATACCTCAAAGTGATAGGCAAAAACTTTATGGCAAAAATGATGAACAAAGAGGAGACTATCCTGTTTCATCCATCCTGATATTTTTTTGAGAAGATCCTTGTAGTTCTTCATATGCTGCTCGAGTAAAAATAAGTAAGGTTCTTTACATGTCACAATGTGGATAAGAAAATGGAACTACGTCTGGAAATTAGTGACCTCAAACATTTCAATGGAAAATATTCGATCATATTCTGCTTCCATTTCAAATGTGCTGATGTCTGCAACTATGATGTTGACATTATGCAGTTGAAGATCCCTGAAACCTCAAATCAATAAACAACTTTGGTCATTTCTGCAACATCTAGTATGGAAAAGAAAATCCAAAAGATGCCAACCCCAACTTCGTTTCGAGTAATTAACAAATCTGAAAGCAAATTCAAGGTATGTAAAACAAAGCTAATAATTTACTAAAAAAAACATAGCTAATTACCGGGACTGCTCCTCGATGTAATCTTTCTGCGTGGCTGAATTGCAAATTCCGGTTACCCTGCAATTCTTATAATTTTGGGCAATGTACAATGAGAGCGACCCCCAGCCACATCCAACATCAAGAACAGTGTGACCATCCTTCAGTTGTGACCTTTCACAGTACATTTGTAGCATTGCCTCCTCAGCGTCCTCCAAGGTACTTGACTTGTCATTGAAATAGCAACAACTGCAACAATAGATCATGTAAGGGTCTAGTGAACCGTTCCAACCAAGAGAACTTAAAGCTCATTTGATCATGTAAAAAGTATATGAATCTCTTTTTCTTTCATCGTGACTTCGCTTCTTGCTTGGAATGACCTGCAAATCTCTATAGTATGCTTGAAATTATTTTCAATTGGAAACCCAATCTTTCAATGAGAAAATTCCCTGCTCTACTGTAAAGGCAGCTTACAAAAGAGGAAAAAGAAAACCTGACCTAACAAAACAAAAGAGCGCTCTTTCAATGACATCCATAATGCTGAGAGCCCGAAATCTCTGTTAACTTGTACAGAAAGTTTGACTTCTCAAATCACATCAATACTGTTTTATCCCGCTTATATACATAACTATAAAATCATATGTTGTATCGATCTATGAAAGATCTACTACGATATAACACACAAATAATTAATTCGAATTTTGCGTCTGCCTATTTAGGGCTTCTTAGCACATATGCATACAAAATCAGTGGCATGAGTAGTTAGTTTCTATCGATTGGAAATGATTTCAAATAATTTAAGTACCTGTACTTGAGATGCTTCCCCAAAACCAAATTGAAGAAGGAGGTCGGCAGTTCGTAATGTTGGGCTTTTGGCTGATCAGTCTTGATTGCTATGGGCATTTCCCTCAAAGCTGCAGAAAGAAGAACAAAATTAATTGCTGTGTAGATAAGATCAGGTTCGGTGTTCTCTCAATTTCCATTAGAGGAAGAATCAGAGAAACGGGTCAACGTCGATCTCCTACTTCGATAATTTACAGAGAGAGAGAGAGGAAGATGAGGAGTTACTTACAATGAACAAAGTGGAGCAAATCGGAGAGTTGGAGTTGGGAGGAAGGCTTGTAGCCGGAGCGGAGACGAGCGGCGAGTAACAGTCGAGTGAACCTTCTGACGACGGCGTCCGGCAACAAATTCCGTTCAAGTGAAGCCAAAGCCAGACGCACGGTGACATCGTACGGCAACTGCATTAGCTCCGCCATCTTTGTGCGGCTCAATTCAAATTATCCGCAAAGTCGTAGTTTTTTTTTTCTTTTTTTTCCCCTTTCTTTCTTCTTTTATTTTATTTTCTTTCGGTGCCGCAATTTACAATTTGAACCTGCCTGTGCCATTTGAGGTTAGTCCTCTCTCTCAGTCTCATCTATTTATTACGCTTTTAATTCAATTTTCTCTTTCTTCTATTAATTTCTTAATATTTTCTTTTAGAAAAAAATAATTTCCGCTTGTTATTTAATTTTTCTCATTCAAACATTAAAAATTTTGACAATTCATTAATTTTTAAAAAATAATTTTTTTTTTACATTTCCATTTCTATCTCTCAGTATGTGAGTATAAAATAGGTCCTCGCTGAGATTTAAACATTTTGCTTCAATCATTTTTCTCCTCCATCCATAATTCTTCTAGCAAAAAATACTTCAATACTTCACTCATATTGCGTTGTTGGTCATGCTTAAATTTTTAACAAATTTAAAATATGAATATAAAAAAAAAGTTTTATAATATATATATATACTTTGTGTGTGTCAATTCTTTTAATAGTGATTGAATATAGGTGTTGATCGGTAAAACGCCTAAATATTATTCAAATACAATTTCACTTTTTATCTCCATTATAATTTGTTTTCATTCATTTATTCAGCTTATTTATTAATGAAATAAATCTAAAATGCTGCTGTTGCAAAAATAAAATAAAATAAATAAATCTAAAATGTGAATTAAAAAATTGGTGAAAAATATACATGTTGTATTTCCATTAAAGGGTTAAAAATTAATTTAGGATTATCCTAACAAAATAATAATAATCCTTAAAAAAAACAAAATAATAATTCAGGATTGGTTTGGTTTTTTTTATTTTTTAAAAATTGTGATAAGATGAATTGTAAAAATAATATTATTATACAAATTAATTTCTTTAGTAATATGTAAATTGAAATGCGTAAAATTCTCAAAAGGTAATTAAAAGTGTAAATATTTTTTCATTGGTTTTGAAAGTAGCTGTAAAAAAGTTGTATTTTTCTAAATTAATGTTCAGTTTTATAGCAAAAAGTTTCTCAGGAAAAAAAAAGTTTTATAACAAAAATAAAGTGCAGTAAAAAAAAAAACTTTTTTCTTAAACTAATTATGAATTGTGAGGGTGGGATCGTGAGATTTTATTGTGGAAAGAGATTTGTTGAAGAGATACATTAAGAACGCCAGACAAAAATAATGGGGCTAATTAATGTAAGAAAGAAAATTGAATAAAAAAGCAATTAATAGAGGAAGATCAATTTTGTCATATGGGAAAAAGGAAAATCCCATTATTCAGTCAAATATATCTCTTTGAAAGAGAAATTTCAATAAAGAAAAATAATATAAAATTACTAAAGTTTGGCACATCACTTAAATGTTATCCAACTCAACTTTGACACATTAGCATGTAGCATGGTGTGGGATATTAATTTAAATTTGATTCAAGTGACATTTTAGAACTATTTTTTGGTCATGATTAAATTGTCAGTTTTTTAATTTAAAAAAAATTAGAAATAGAAAATAAAAAATGGAGACGCTATCGAACAAAACATTAAATGTCTTATAAGTTCATGTTTTATAAGAAACTTAACCTGTTTTTAAAACCATTTTCTCTTATTTTTCAAATAACTATAATATAGAAATATTGTCATAAATGTTTTTAAAGGGAGTTACCTTTTAGACAAAAAAAAAATAAAAATAAATTCAAAATGAAATACTCAATACTTTTTTATTTGTAAGAGTCTATTAAAATTTTTTAATAAATTTATGAATGAAATTTTTAAAATTATTATTAGTTATAAAATATATTTTTTATTTGGAATAGGTTGGTTAATATAAAATATTAACGAATTTTTATAAAATAAAATATTACGTAAAATCAACTTTAATGGTTAATAAAATTATAAATTGTATCACACTATATTAATAATAATTAATCTATTATATATATTCAAGGTTGGAAATTATTATAATAATTATAAGAAAATTGGATAATTAAATACAAAATTCTTGCCTAATGCATGACACGTTGGTAACTCACTAGTAATATTAGTGAACATGAATTTGACTAAGCCTTGTATTTTTTACAAGAGTTCAATTAATTTATGATAAAAAAAAAAAAAAAAACTCACCGGTAACATTAAAAACGAAGGTTATTAATTTTAGCGGTCTGCGCGTCAATAGCCGACAGTATGGAGCAGCAACTTATGAATCATGACAACCATAAGATGCATTTTATTATTATTATTATTAATATTATTTTGCATGTGAAGTGAAATATTATAAGAAAATTCTCAATTTTGTAAAGAAGATGTTTGGAAAAAATTACAACTCTGACTTCATCTATAACTTTCAATTTTATTCAATCTTAACTATTTTTTAATTCAACGATATGAAAAATAAAGTGAAACATCTAATATATTTATAATAAATATACAATATTTTAACTAGAGTTATATTGATATCTACTCTCCTTTTTACCTATAAATAATCATTTATGGTATTCAGATTTATGTGTTCCATTTATAGTAGTGGGTTCATTGTTTTTTGATGGATTTTTGTTCAATTCTGCACCTTAAACCCATTGCTATGCTGCATTGTTGATTGGACGGAACTTTGCTTATTACTTCATTTTTTTCTTGAAAAGGAAATCGCTGGCCATCCATTCTTCCCCATCATTGTAGCCAAATAATTCAGCTACTGCAATAAAGAATGTTCTCCAGTAAACAGTCCACTTTAAAGCTGAATCCTTCCCATAAGTAGTTTCCATTATTGGTTTTATTGAACCTATATTCTTGTCCATTCTTTTCAGCCACTCTTCGCTGCAACAATATGTGTTCAATTTGCCTTATGTTTGTCACACATTCAACATATAAAGAATAATACTTACATCCCGACCCGACACCATACCATTTTTCCCAGTTATTTTTTTTTTACCAAAAAGAAAAAAAATTATTTCTTTGTCCCTTTCTACGTTCCTCTCTCTTACTTGTCTTAATAATAATAGTGACCAATAAGAGATTTTCATGGACCAGGTAAATATTATTTGTATGAAAGCACGATTTAAGAAATATTTTGATCTACGACCACGAGGACTATTCTTAAATTTTGATCTATGACCACGAGAACTATAATTAGTGATGACCAATAAGAGATGTTCATTGACCAGGTAAATATTATTGGTATGAAAGCACAATTTAAGAAATATTTTGATCTATGACCACAAGGACTATAATTAGTATTGCACACGATTGATATAATAATTTAAGTGTTACCTTGTCTTAGCATAGTGTTTGCCATTCAAAAGCCAATGGTTGATAATTGACACATCATCCTGTACGAAACAATAAAAATGACAAGACTCAATAGAAAGTGAAAGTACTAAAAAAAAAAGGAAGTTGAAAGTACTTAGCACTCGTTAGCTCCCTACGAGTGATGACCAAATCTTGTATTCTTGAAAAATTGACAACTCACTATTAAAAAAAAATCTAAGCATTTCTCTGGTAAGTTTGACAAGACGAGTCATTACCTGTAAGGAGGCAGAATTTTTCAAAGGAAGCTTACGGTGGTATTACCATTTAAAAAAATTCTCATATTTAGAATCAAATGATAATCACTAATTAGTGCATCAAATGAGACATGTCTACATTTTTTTATTTTTTTATTTTTTTGTCTACATTAACCACTCGTACAAGAGATGCTTCATTTCATGTGATGCACCTGCATGTACAATCTCTTTATTTTAATCTGGTACCTTTGATCTACTCGACATATAAACTAAACTTACTAGAAAAATATTGTTGTTCTAAGTATGGCAGTGGCACATTTTGTGAAGAATGTTTAAAACATTTCTCCAAGAGATGTTTGACCAAAGTCAACATTTCCGTATTTTCTGAGAAACAATTCTATTTTCCTAAGTTTTAAATCTACAGTATTTTATGGGGACGGGAATGAATCATTATGAAGGTTATCACCTGGAAATAGAGAAGTAGATTTGCAGAAGGCATTGTACCATATGCGAAGAAGTATCTAGTAATCCAATTATCCTCATTTATGCCCTGAATAATATGAGGCGAAAAAGTAGTTAGCAATTCACATTGTTGTTGCGCCCACTACAAGAAACGGAGCTTTCAGAGGCACATTTTTAGCGACGTATAAGCAATAATGTCCCTAAAACATAATTTCAGCGATGACAATGTCGCTAAATAATGTTTTCAGCGACACGAAGAGTAAATGTCGCTGAAAGTAATTTTCAGCGACATCTACAGTGTCGCTGAAAACCATTTTCAGCGACATCATCTTGA